AAGCTGTCAGTTGCAATTGTTAAAGTCCCGGATCTTTTATCCCTTAATCACTGTGAAATGCACCTATATTAAGCGGTCACATCTATTTAGCGGTTGCAGTCACCGTTTACCGATTCCAAATCGGCTTTTTTTTAAAATGGTTTTTCACTTGCGTTGAACGGTCACTGAAAGCGGAACTACCCATATAAAACTAAAAATACTATTTTAAGTACTTTTTAATCTTTTTTTTTCTACAACAATAAAAGTAGGTAATATTTGCAACAAGATTCTGCACTTGAGGTGGTCAATTATGACATTAAGTAGCGTTTTATCGTTTTTAAAAATACCCCTGATCGGTGAAACCTGTATCAAGAGGTCAAACTGTATTAAGTGGTCACAACACCACTCCCTATGGGTGACCGCTTAATGCAGGTTCGACTATATTGTGAACACCCTTATTTGCCCTAGAGGGTACCATTCACCTAATATTTTTGCTTTATTTATATGGCATATAGTACTAAAACAGTTATTCATTCAGCATCAGTAAGAGTGGTGGATATTTACCGAGCTGCGAGGTAAATATTCGCCACTATTCACCTGTACTTTTGGTGAATAATTTTTTATTTAGTTCACGGGAGTGGGTTTTGCGAAATAAATAAATAATAATAATTTAGCCACTAGGATGATTTAATTTGGCTTTGCATAATGCCGATTGGATTTACACCTATACATCTTCATGATCATTTTCTTTACAGTTGTATAGGGCTGACTTTCTCGGCAAATTGCACAATGCAGATTTAATTTGTCCTTGCATTATGCAGATTCGATCTGCACTCGTACCATGCTAATTTGACTTGTACCTGCATTTTACCGATTTGTTTACGCGCTTGAATTGAAACCTCGGAATTGTTTCACTCATATGTGAGAACACTTTCGCTGTTTAATCATTTGCCTTGTGTTTTACTCGTTCGATCGAGCTTCTGCGGGAAACTGAAAAACAAAATAAGACATTTATATTTAATGAGTCGGGGAATTTTCTCTTGATCAACTCCGGCTTTCATATATTAAATTAAGTTAAATGTGGTCTGAAACTCGAACTTTCGCGAGTCAGCCGCCTGTTCCACGCAAGCGTTACAAAATTTAGAAAACAAACCGGTTACTATGGTTTTCGCATTTCGTGTTGTCACGACGTTATGGGCTCTAGAGCGCTCTCAATATCTGTTCATTCTCCCACGCAGGTTCCTCAGATGATACCAATCGTGACTTCAATTAATGAAATGCCTAATTTGAATATACGTGAGGACTAAAAGTTTCCGCATAGAGTGTGTGGATCAAACAGCACGCGTTTTTATCGCCGTACGTGACTGAACTGACTCGAGATGACTTTCAACAGAAACGACTTGAAGATAATCTCCAACATCCAGGTTGTCATC